ATTTTTCCGATGGAAAAAGGGTCTATAAAAATGTTTCTGTAGTTCCTGGGACATTTTTCTCGGGCCGGTGAAAAGGACAGATTTTCCCTTGTTTTCTCGGCCCGATACAGATAGTATTTTTCACTGAGAAAGTCTACAAGAAGCATGGCCAGTTTTTCCTTGCTTTTTCTACCCAAGATAGAAAGCATTTTCCCAGGTGAAAAAGTTTGGGCAACTTTTTCCACCCGAAAAATCTTCACTCTTTGTTCAATAAAAGATCTGAGAAAATATGAGCTTTTCCGCTGAAGTTTTCCTTCATTAAAACGCATGCTTTTTCTGCAAGACAATCTCGTTAGAAATTCATCATTTTCCCTCAGAATTTTCCCAAGGAAATATCAGCGTGCGCGCAGCGCCACGCTCCACGCGTCGCTGGGAGCACGCTAGCGTGCCGCTGGATGCGCGCTCGTGTGCCGCTGGATGTGTGCTAGCGCCTACTCAGAGGGTGCTTGGCGGGTAAGCGTGCGTTTAGCGGGTCGACCGATGATAAGACCGGTGTCTGCCTAAGCGGCGCGAGCAATGTACTAGCTGCGAATAGCAAGCCGAAGGTATAAACCAACAACTAACAACCCACCAACTACCACCTAACCACTACTGCACTACTCTCAGACACGTGTCCCTTGTTTGTTCGGGGGTGACGAGTCAAGTATTAGACTCTCAGAACGAGATTTAATTGTGTTCGAACGATTTATAGGGTGTTTCGACAAGGCTCGACGGAGTTTCAACAATCGTAAACGGATCGACTTGATTGTCGACAATGAGTACAACGATGTATATGGGCTGGAGCAGACAACAAGTACGGTATTTAACCGTGTATATGGTAGATTTGGGGCTTGTAAACCCTTCAGGACGCAATGGGAACAGACCCAAAGAACTGTATAAACGCGATTGAACAAGTCAAACTTGTAGGAACTTCCAGGCCAGATAACTTCCAGGCCAATAAAACTTCCAGGCTCAGTGTATTGTGACTTCCAGGCTCAAATGTTAAACTTCCAGGCCAATGTACTTCCAGGCTCAAATGTTATAACTTCCAGGCTCAGGTGTTTATATCAATCCAAAGGTATATTCACACACTATAAAGCAGACTCTACTGAGCTGTGCCTTAAGGCGAACAGAGCACACAACCTACCAAACAACTAATTGTGACTATCTTCTAGCCTCCAACCAGCTGTCGGTGCGATTCGCTGCCGTTCCCTCTCGCGCAGACGCCCTTATATACTGTTTCTATACATGATTACAAACGATGATTACGCTACTAGCTGATAAATAATATATGAAATGAGCACGCGTTCCGGAATATATCGATCCCGAAACCTCTATGATTGGTTGAGGGCCCTCCCACGTTCGTGGATGACTCCTCCTTGCTGATTCACAGCGGCGCCGTATGACTCGTACCTCCGATCGGTCGGAATATAGGTGCGAACAGTCATACTCCAGGGTATATCATGTTCAGAACACCTTCGAGGTGTCTTATATTGTATTAAGGCTTCCTTCCCAAGCCTGGTATATATCATATACAGACTTTAGGTGCTAGTTTACGATAGTCGAACATCGTTCCGGAGTCTTCTGATCGATATTTGATTCCGTCAACGGAGTCATCCGTGTCCGTTCGGATCCGATCGAACCGGCTACTTGTGTTCCCGGAGCCTAGACCCTTCACATGAGGTGTCGCGGCGTGAGGATCAGTGTCAACATGTTCAAACATCCTGTCATTCGACCATATATGCCGTTCTTAGCATGTATACAGGGCTCGGAACCCTTCCCCTTGGTTGGGAACTGACACTAAGTGACTGATAACCCCTGGATACTGGGCTGCACTGTTTTCTACGGAGTGTTATACCTCAGTGCAAGCTGTATATAGGCCTCAGTATGGAGTACCGTTATACGAACATGCTTCGAAGCTCCCCTAAGGTGTCCGACGTTCAATGACTAACTGTTCGGGCTCACAATAGTCCTCTTATACAGATGTCCTTAGTGTATATGGTCATGATATATGCATAAAATGCGATTTTCACGGCCAGAATTGTACACTGCTTATCACCGACGCGAAGAGACGGGTGAAATAATCATAGCGTATTGTTCGCCAAGTCAGTAACATTCGGCGTCGGCATCGCCCTCCTTGACCTCACCCAGATCGAGAAGACCGAAAAACTCGACCGAGCGCTGCTGAACCCAGTCCTCGTCACGTACTGCACGAGCAGCTCGGACACGCCCTCCTGCTGCACGCGGTTTACGCTGGTGGACTCGAGCAGGTCGATGAGGCGGTCCTCGTCCGTTGCTTGCTTATGTGAATCCTCGTCCATGATGCCGCCGCCCTCCAGCAACAGCTCGCCGGATCCGCCGATGACCCTGTGCGAGGGGTCAGCAGGCGAGGCGAGATGAAGGATGAGAAGGGGAGGGAGGTGGAGGCGCGCGAAGGAAGAGGGGGGGGGGGGGGGGGAGGAGCGGGGTAAAGGAACGAGTGAAGGGAGGGAGGGGAGGAGGGAGGAGGGCGCAAGGGACGAGGGTGCGTCGGCTGAGAAGGGAAGCGGGAGCAAACGACAAGGGAAGGCAGAGAGAACAGAACGCGAGAGACAAAGGGAGAGCAGAGACGCACGGCATGTTCCCCGGCAGTGTATCCACGAGCGCGCACAGCGTCATTCAGTCCCACAGCAGGCGCCACGCGTCCTGGTTCGGCACGACGATGTCCGCCATCTCAAGGCGGAAGTACCTGTTCGGCTGTGTGCGCGGAAATGAGCATCGGCGGGAGGGAACGAAGGGAAGGGAGGGAAAGACGGAAAGGTGGAACGCACGTCCGGGGGCCCAATCCCGCCGCCCGCCATGCCGAACATGATGGACAAGGATTCACATAAGCAGGCGACGGACGAGGACCACCTCATCGATCTGCTCGAGCGTGTGTCCCCTCCCTCCTCCTTTTTCTCTGGCTAATATGGTTTTTCTTAGGGAGGCCGAACAATCTACTGCGAAGCGGGTTCCGCGCGTCAGAGCAACCCCGCCGTTTTCACCCCCACTTTCGTGCATCACCCTCCTGTGGTACCACCCCGCCGTCCGTTCGCCGCCGCTGTCGTCTCGGTGTGCAGCGGCGCCTTTGTCCGTTGCCGCCTTCGACGCCCGTCCTTGGCGCAAGACGGGGCGCAACCGCCGCCTCTCCGAGAAAGCCTGCCACCGTCTCCGTGCCTCGCCCCAGCCTCGTTCGGCTGCGCTGCGCCGTGCCATCCTGTCCGCGGCTGGCGGCCAGCCATCGTCCACATCAACTGCACCGCTCTTCCTCGTCGCCGCTGTATCTGCGCCACGCCCTCTTGTTCTTTTGCACCGCGCTGTCCTCCCTCGTCACTGATGTGTCCGTGCACGCCCCACCGTCGTGCACGTCAGCGCGGTCGCCGTGCCCCCCGCAAATCTATTGCGTCCGTCCATTCGCAGTCTCGCCGTATTTGGTCGCCTCCGCTGCGTGCACCAGCTTTCGATCATTCCTCTCCCTTTCTGCGACGCAAGCGGTCCGTTTAACATCCCCTTCACCCGTGGCGTACAACGACACGCCTTCCTTCCTCTTGTCCACTTCCCTTCGTACTTCGTAGACCTTCGTGCTCTCCTCAGTTCCCACTTTTCTTTCCTTTTTTACTTGCTTTCCTCCCTTGCGTCCTCCTCCTTGATCGTTTTCCCTCCACTCCCCGCTCGCAGACCGCTGACACCTCAAATTATGACACTCAGCCCTGCTATGTAGTATTGTACGCCACAGAAAACAGAAGTCTCCTCCCCATCTTCCCCTGCTCACCTCCCTCTTCACCCAAGTCAACCTTCATCCTCATTCACTACAGACTGACAATCTGATATATATTCCGGTCTCTTCGCGTCGGTCGACCCGCTAAACACACACTTACCCGCCAAGCACCCTCTGAGTAGGCGCTAGCGCGCATCCAGCGGCACGCTAGCATGCTCCCAGCGACGCGTGGAGCGTGGCGCTGCGCGCACGCTGATATTTCCTTGGGAAAATTCTGAGGGAAAATGATGAATTTCTAACGAGATTGTCTTGCAGAAAAAGCATGCGTTTTAATGAAGGAAAAATTCAGCAGAAAAGCTCATATTTTCTCAGATCTTTTATTGAACAAAGAGTGAAGATTTTTCGGGTGGAAAAAGTTGCCCAAACTTTTTCACCTGGGAAAATGCTTTCTATCTTGGGTAGAAAAAGCAAGGAAAAACTGGCCATGCTTCTTGTAGACTTTCTCAGTGAAAAATACTATCTGTATCGGGCCGAGAAAACAAGGGAAAATCTGTCCTTTTCACCGGCCCGAGAAAAATGTCCCAGGAACTACAGAAACATTTTTATAGACCCTTTTTCCGTCGGAAAAATTATGTCATCCCCGCAGTGGGTGCCACCATGGTAAGCGTCAGAGTCCGCGCGGTGTGGCCGCCGGCTGGCTACAGGCTGCTGCTATGGCGAGCATTAAAGTTTGCACTGCCTTCCTCCCATCCCCTTCGTCTTGTACCTTGATCTACGTCTCTGAGCTACTGCTGCTCGTCGTCTCTTCTGCCTTCCTCGCCGTGTCCTATGCTGCTGGCCGTCGAGCTCGCCGTCCTGAGGGCCTTGAGCTTAATCTGATCGCTGACGACCGTGCAAAGTCAAAGTGGGCGTGGCGTGCTTAGTCAGCCTGCCGATCTCTCCGCCCTCCTGATCTTTGCCTATCGGCGCGCACTCCATGCTATCCCCGCCGCAATCCCGCAAATCTATCCTGTTCCTGGCGCTCTGATACAATATGTCCATGCTCTTGATACAATATACCCATGCTAAGCTTGCTATCTGCGCGACTTGACGCCCGGCAAGCGCCCGGATCTTCAAATTCTCGCTCATCTATCCTCCTCGGTCGCTCCTTCAACTTTCCACATTCAAACGGTCAATATCATCTGACATCCAGGAGAACGATGCTACTTCTCACCCGTGTCCTCCCTCCCAGTCGCCTCCTCATCACGACCTAATGGCGAAGCTGGTATCGCGTCCACACTTCTTGACGAAATACGTCCCGTAATTTTCAGTGGAGGTCCCCAGTTCGAACCCGGGTTAGGTCGTAGTATAGTCACTTGATTTCTTTTTGAATTTTCTCCCTCAGCATCTTAATAAGAATAAACAGTTCTACCTTTAAAATTCTAGCCCGCAACCGCCCTCCACATCCTCGTGCCCTCGTCCCAGTCCCGACTCATCTCCGTGTCTAGGCTCACCTTGTCAATGAATTTTGGCATCTACTCAACATCCGTTGCGCGAAATCTTCCTCAAACCGACATGTGCAAGCCCTATGCCACTCACTCTTCTCACCGGAATTGTATAGGAGGACCTAATGGCGAAACAGTATCGCGTCCACACTTCATAAATAACCATGGTCCATGTTTCGTGGAAGCCCCCGGTTCGAGTCCGGGTTAGGTCGTAAGGTAGAAACGTCGAGGTTTTTTTTTGAATTTTCTCCCTCTAATAAGCATCAGTATCTTTGTCCTACTTTCTAACCCGCAACCCCCTCAAGCAGCCTCGTGCAACACGAGCAGCCTCATCCGCCAGCTGTCCGTGTTCAGGCTCACCTTGTCGATGAATCTCGGTATTTGCTTCCCTTGGTCGACGTTCATTCTGCGACATGTGCGAGTAATGGCGAAACGGGTGTGCCACTCGATCTTCTCACCTGGACTGCACAGGAAGACCTAATGGTGAAACGGTATCGCGTCCACACTTCATATATAATCATCATCCACATTTCGCGGAAGTCCCCGTTTGAACCCGGGTTGGGTCGTTTGTTTCTTGCATCGCTTTTTTCTCTGCGCTGCACTCCTGAATGCCAAAACACCTCCCAACTTTGCGTATCAATGCGGAGTCAGGATCAGCGCGCCAACTCTCTGAGGTTAGGCGAAGCTAGCAGTCACATCCTTCCCGGTCCGCGCTGGCACGCATCACAAGTGATATTTTGTCCGTTGTCCATTCAAACATGCTACTTAAGCCCGCTCACAAAGGTGCTAGGTAAAGACCTAATGGTGAAACGGTATCGCGTCCGCAGTGTATATCATGGTCGGACTATACTATGGTGGAAGTCCCTGGTTCGACTCCAGGTTAGGTCATTCTTGTACACCACTTTTTCTTTCTGTTTCTTCTAGCTCCGCTCGTCCTCTCGTCTGCAATAAAATAATGGAATCGTTCAAATGTCAGAACCACTTTTTCTAAATCTCAGAATCGCCTTTCGCAGTACCCGACGCGCAAGGGTAATATTTTGCTTCTCCGCATCCTCTCTGACCGAATTACTCCTCAGCCTTTTAACACACGTACAGGAGCAACGACCTAATGGTGAAACGGTATCGCGTCCGCAGTTCGTATGGGTATAAATTATGTATTTCGGCGGAAGTTCCTGGTTCAACTCCAGGTTAGGTCATCGCTCCTGAATTGACAATTTTTCTTTTTTCTTTTTCCTTCCTTGTCCGACTCCCCTCGCCCAAATTCCCGACTCGAATCTCATCTCTCACACTCTCGTCTGAATCCGCCTTCGAACCAAGGCTGTGTCCCCAGGACAGACCACAGACACTGACCATCGGACGAAGGGGAGTGAACCTTGCTAATATCTGAACGTCATGCTACGTGTTCCGCACGTGTCCGTGACTCTCAGCTGGTCACCAATTTTGTTCCCATCTTTTATTTTTTCTCTCACTGGTTCTTACGACGAACTGTGTGAGAGGTAAAGCCATATTACTTCATACATTACCGTTTACTGATTTAATTAAAGCCTGTACTCACAGTATTCGTACAGGTACATATTAATCTATTCACTGGTTCTTACGACGAACTGTGTGAGAGCCTGTACTCACAGTATTCGTACAGGATCCCCACGGTTCACAGGTTATGGGACCTCGAGCAGCGTAATATACCACTGCGCATACCAGTCAACCCCGTCCTCGAAACCAATTCAGTCTGCCATCACAATGGCCGCAAAATTTCAGTCTTTTGACAAACTCCAGTACGAGTCAGAGACTTCCCCCGACACATATCCCAGCTGGGAAGTCGACTGCAAATCAGCCCTCGTCCTCTCCGGGTTTTGGGGCTACATCACGGGCCGGAATGTCACCGTCCCTCCGAAACAGATTCCAGACCCGTCGAGCACGACAACACCTCCCGCGTTGATTGACAATCCCCGCTGGGAAGACTTCATTGATGAGAATCTCATTGTCCTCTCTTGCATACGTTTGCGCATCGGCGCCACTGATCAGCGAGTGATCAAGGACGACACCCTTGCTTCGGAGTCCTGGGCCAAGCTTAAAGCTGCCCACTTACCATCCGGAGCACTCTCACAACTCACTATCCTCCAAGAAGCTCTCACCCTTCGCTTCTCTCGTGAAACCCCCCTCAAACAGACTTCAGACAAACTACAGACGCTCATTGACACGTTCTTTGCCATCAGACCTCCTACTCAGGATGAATGGACCGCGATCCTCTTCCTTAATGCTATGGCAGGAGCGGAGTTCAAAGATGCCCGCTCCTCCCTTGACACACTTCTGAGCGCCGGGACATTGTCCTCCGCCGCTGTTGTCACCCGCATTAAACATGAGCAAATCCGTATCAATGCGGAAAACGCGGAAACGACGACAAAGGAAGCTTCTTTCGCAGCTTTCAGCAAACGCTATGAAGCCGAAACCGGGTCTGTCAAATCCGCGTTCCCGAATGGGCAAGGTCCCTGCAAAAACCCACAATGCAAAGGAAACGCCAAGCGCTACCATGATTGGGATCATTGCTATGGATCTGGCGGCGCATGAAGCGCCCGGAAAATGCATCCAAGGGACGTTCGCAGAAGAAAGAGAAGAAAGGAGGAGGGCAAAAGGATGATGCCAAAGTTGCCGTTGACAGCGACGACGAATCAGACGAGCAAGCAGCATTCGCTAATGACACGAGCGGATACAGGTCATTCTTTGCCGATTCCGAATCCTCACCCCACGAGACCACATCAGTGGATTGGTCCAAGAATGCTAGGGACGAAGCCCATATTGCGCACGACAAACTCGTCCTCTATCTAGACACCGGAGCTACCAGCTCCATATGCCCGATTCTCGCGCATTTCACCAAAATAGAGCCATGTACACGTAACATTTCTGGCGTCGGGGGCTCATCCATCAAGGCCATTGGTATCGGGGAAGTCCGTGTACGCGTGGGCAAAGGACGCCACTTCACCTTGAAGGATGTTCTTTACTGCCCGCGTGCTGCCATCACCCTAATCTCCATTGGGTGACTGTGCGATGACGGACACAACGCGACGTTCAGCAGCGAGAGCTGCGCTCTAAAGCGGCTATCTGGCAAGATTGTAGCAACGGGCACACGCACCAGAACCGGCCTCTACACGTTGGACTGCGAGACCCCAATTTTTGCACTGTCAGCATCTACTGCATCCACAGCGGCGGAAGCGGTATCACGCGCAGTGATATCACGTATGACCAACAACGAAATGGCAAATATAGCCATCAAGGCCGCTCCGACCCTTGAGACCTGGCACCGCTGGCTCGGGCATGTCAATGTCGGGACCGTCTTGGATATGGCACGTGGAAACACCGTAACCGGTATGGACGCTAATCTATCACACCTTCCCGCCAAATGTGCTCACTGCATCCTCGGAAAGCAGAAAAAGAAGCCAGTTCCAAAGAAGCGTGAAGGGGAAAGGTCGGGCAGAAAGCTGGGGATAGTTTTTGCCGACTTAGCTGGACCACAAACAGTCGCAGCGCAGGGCGGATTCCTGCATACCTTGCAATTAATTGATGATCACACGCATATGCAATGGACAATTCTTCTTAAGAACAAGACGGAAGCCGAGCAACAAGTCAAAGAGTGGCAGGCAATTGTTAAAGAAGAGAGCGGTGAGAAAGTGGGCATCTTTCGCGTTGACGGTGGCGGAGAGTTTGACTCAGCGGGATTTATTCGCTACCTACGTGAACATGGTACGAAGAAAGAGACGTCTGCCCCCTATTCGTCGGCGCAGATAGGACTTGTCGAGCGAACCCACCATACACTCATGAGTCGCGCTGTCGCATCGCTGTCATCGGCAAAACTCCCGCCAAATATGTGGGGAGAGATGCATCTCACCGGGGCCTATATCAAAAACCGGACGCTCACTAGTGCCCTGCGCAATCCCGAGATGACGCCCATTGAAGCGTGGACTGAAAAGAAGCCGGACTTGTCACATATGCACGAAATCGGTTGCCGGGCGTTCGTGCTCAAGCTGCCAAAGAACAAGAATCCTAAGATCTACAATCGGTCAATAGAATGTGTCATGATCGGGTACTCACCGCATTCAAAGGCATACCGATGCTACGAGCGAAAGACCAGGCGTGTGCACATCAGCCGAAACGTCGAATTCATCGAGTCGCAGGATGAGGTTGCTCGTCCCTTGACGATGCGGAAACCGCCCGTCGCAGCGGAGACACCAGCTACAGAAATGCAGACCGACCCAGAGTCAGACTGGAACGTGCCGCAAAAGGATCAAAACCAGTTAGTGCCCGATCTGAATCTCGAAGAGCAGGAAGACGCACCAGCTCTTCTCCCACCCATCCATCCAGCCGAAGCACGTCCTGTGCGGGTTCGCACTGCACTGGGGGAAGATGGTGCTTTCCCCGATGCTCGAAAAGAAGCTGCTGTGGCGGAGGCCCGTGAAGCAGAAGAGCGCGCGAAAGAGCGGTGCTCCGATGCAAGAGCAGCACAGAGGACAGCCATTGATGAAGTCGACGAACGCGAAGCTGAGGAGGAGCATGCCGCACTCGCAGATGACAACGAGTTTGAGTATTGGGCATTTGCAGCTGCAGATGCAGACGATGAGCCAAAGACATGGAAGCAAGCACAAAACTCACCCTTCTCCGAAGAATGGCGCAAGGCCTACCAAGCCGAACTTGATTCCATCAAGGAGCATGGTATGTACGAGCTAGTACCACCGGAAACTGTCCCAGCTGGCCGAAAGATAATCCGTTCTCGCCCGATCTTCAAGATCAAGCGCGGAAGCACTGGTGAAATCTTGAAGTTCAAAGCGAGACTCGTCTCCATGGGCTATGCGCAGGTAGCCGGGCAGGACTATCGGGAAACGTACGCACCTACGTCCCGTTTTGAATCCTTCCGTATGGTGTTACATGCTGGTGCGATGCTGGACCACGAGATTGATCATGTCGACATCAAGACTGCTTTCCACAATGGTCTTCTATCCGAGGACATCTGGCAAGCACAACCAAAGGGGTTTGAAGTGCCAGGGAAGGAGAACTGGGTGTGGAAATTGAAGCGGGGCATGTACGGACTGAAGCAAGGAAGCCGTTCGTGGAATCTCCGCTTACATGCTGCCATGACCAAATTGCGATTTGAGCGGATATCAGTCGAGCACAGCATCTACTCACGGCACCAAAACGGCGAATCCTCCCTCGTAGCGGTGCACGTCGACGACTTATGCATTGCAGCAAGCTCCAAGTCTGAGATGAAACAGTTTAAGGAGGAGCTACGAGGCGAGTTTGAGATCACTGACCTAGGTCCCATGAAGTGGATTCTGGGAATACGGGTTACTCGAGACAGAAAAGCCCGCACCATCTCCCTCAACCAACAGTCTTACATCGAAAAAATGGCTACTCGCTTCGGGCTTGACAATGCTCACCCCGTCCGCACACCAATGGTCTATGGGGAGCCCCTATCTCATTCCATGTCACCTTCTACACCCGCTGCCAAGGCGCGCATGGCAGCCGTTCCTTACCGCGAATTGGTCGGATCCTTGATGTATGCAAATGTGGCTACACGAGCCGATGTCGCACATTCTGTCGGTATCGTCAGTCAATTCTGTCAGAACCCGGGTGAGCTACATTGGACTGCCGCAAAGAGGATCCTTCGCTACCTCATCGGGACAAAGTCTCATTCTCTCGTTCTCGGAGGTCGCGCTCCAATATGTCTAGAAGGTTATATCAACTCCAATTACGCACCTCCCGGGGATCTGGATAAGAGAAAATCTACATCTGGCTATAGCATGTCTCTCGGGAGCGGCACAATTTCTTGGAGTTCTAAGCAGCAATCGACTGTGGCTACCTCGAGTACCGAGGCCGAATACATGGCATGTTGTCATGCC